TTGACAGTGTGAACTGAGCCTAAGAAAAGTTAAGCCTTTCCCATTTTTCTCAGTGTTCTCATTAGGAAAATGTAATCAGACTCTCAGTGGCGGATCCAGGTGCGACATAAAAATTAAAAAAAAAAAAAAAAAAATCAAGAACAAAAAAAAAAACGAAAAAAAAAAAAAAAAAAGACAAATTTAGTCGCACACACCATCTGACGGTGGCTGGCTAGGCTCCGGTAATTTCTTCTTTTGACCAATGAAATCGATTCCGCTAATATGCTGGTATTTAGTTACGTTATATTTACTTGATGACGTTAACGTGACCGTTTGGTGTTCTAACAGGATTTTCTTTTGTATAAACAGATCTCCCTCTAATGAATGGAATGGGAAATGGAAGGGAAACCTGCATTTCAAACTAAATAACGGTGCTAACGCTGTTTTCGTCATCTTAAATTTTGTAGAGCGCACAGAGACCTCGTTTATTTGCGCTATATAAATACATCTATTATTTATTATTATGACGTGCGAACGATGTAACAATGTTTTGTGTTGACTAGGTTATTATCTATATTAAGACAATGTTTTTCCCCGTTGGTATTAATAACAAAATTATACTATAGTTACGATAACAATATAATCATGTTTTTACTTGTCTCCGTATCCTAGCCTGAGGTATTATCGTCGGTGTATCAAATCATGTTTATGTGCACCGCCTCGATTTCTTCTCCAATCTACTGAATCCCACTTAAGTGCAGTAAGTGATCTCTGATTTATGTAGTATAGCCTACTTTCGTTGATCTCATATTGAGAATTCATGGTCGAACGTGCGCGCGTTGGCAGTTGGATCATTAACGGCGATAGTGGCGTCACACGAGGGACAAACTGACAAAATGATGCGTGCATAATTACACTTTACGTACTTTACACACGAACATTAAATTCATACTAAATTTCATGATAACGATGCCAATGGGAAAATAAGCATATATATATATTACAGTATATATACTGTCTCTTATACACATCTAGATGTGTATAAGAGACAGTATATATATCGGTAAGGTATGCGATTTGTTTCGCATTATTCATGTGCAAACGAGAATATAGATAAAAATGACTTCTGCAACTGTTTTTACAGAAGGATTGTTTCGTTAACATTACTATATAGTGTATACTTTTATTAGCTGATAATGCACTAATATTTATGATATGTATGGTAGTACATGGAGCGTTTTACAAGTTCCTAAAGCCTGCCAATCAAAACAGCTGAAATTAAAACAGCCAGTTTCATTCGGGTATCACTGTCATCCGTCGAGTATGTAAATTGCTAAAAGCAATTAAAAAACTACTAATAGCAAAGTAACAGTCAAAGCTAGTCAAACGTAGTGTGTACTCAACGTGACGTCACCAGTAAATGCTTCGAATGTGAACGCACATGATCCTGCAAAGACAAATGATTGTAAATGGATGAACAAGTCGGTACCGTACTCTCTAGTCGGCACTCCATGAAACTACTTCAAAGCCTTCAACGACTGCTGGTGATATGGTTACATTAATGATCCAATAAGTGATTTTATTCACATACACTTCGTCTCCATGAATACCAGAAAAGATATTGGTATTTCTCTCATCTAAAGTGCAATTAACACATGAGTAACATGCCGCGTGATAGTAACGAACCCAGGCAACGGAGAAGTCACTGGCTATTTTGTGCGAGACAATTTAAAGCAACTATGTTTGCATGTACGAGTAGACACTCAAATCAGTGGTTTAACTATGAGTAATATTTCATGAACTAGAATTATAATCCATAAGCCATTAGCTAATTAACATGCCCGAACAAGTTAATGGTCATTTTCAATATGAAATAGGGCGAAAACAATTTTTAGTGTTTATACGTCATGCCTCAGCTGAATTATAGGCCTATGCATTATTGTCACACAGTATCAAATCAGCAGTATTATTATATATTCAAATGTATCATTAATATCAGCAGAGAACAGACAATGATGTAGATCCGTAATAGGCCAAATCCTGGTTGGACAAGCCACCACATAAGTAAGTATCATGACTTGCTTAAAAATATGTTTTGGAGATCCTGTATTGTCATTTCAAAAGAATTCTTCCATGCTTTCTGACTTACTTCGGGTACTAGTGCCTTAATTATGATATTAATTGCATCCAATCGAATTCGGATTCAAACAAAGCCACCAGATTGGCCCAGTTGGTCGACTTTTGCATTTACAGTAAAGCAAAAAAAAAAAAAAAAAAAAAAAAAAAAAAAAAAAAAAAAAACGAAAAAAAAAAAAAAAAAAAAAAAAAAAAAAAAAAAAAAACTGCGATAAAAATTAAACTATGGTACACCATTTCAAAACCACCACAACAATAATCTGATGTTGTATAAGACACCGTTCCAAGTTTTTAAATAGAAACACTCAGTTTGCAGAAATGCTCAACGCTGTTATTCGGTAACACAATGCTTTTCGAAACTGAAATGCTACTAAGTTAAGTGTTATTCCACTAGACAGAGGATAAAATTGATGGATATCTCCCACATAGTCAAAATTAATTTTGAAATGGAAAAAGCACGGGCTACATAATGTTCACCCATAATTAAACGAGCTAAACAACACCAGTTTCATAAAAAGGAACATAACTATTTACGAATCATGTTACATCAGGGAAGGAAGACAAATTATAGCCCTACCAAAACAAATTGAATAAACTTCTAAGATTTAAATTGGACAAGAAAACCTTAGCACGAATCTCTGGAGGATATTTAAAAAGATGATAATTTCAAAAAACTCTTTGATTGCTTTCTATCACAGACTTATCAATTACGATTTACTGCCGCGACCAATATTGCCAATCTGTCTACACACAGACTCTTGGCAGGAAATCAGCTTTAGCTGTCAGAGAAACCTTGAAGAATTCACCGGTAATGATCTAACCTAGTACCTAGGTCTAAAGAAGGAAGACCGCAAAGACTAATCAAATATTGGTGCCAGCTAGGAGGAGATGTGTACATATTACAGTTTTGTTAAACATTAATTTATTAAAAAGAATGTGGTCAAAAGCCAACTTAATAATCTTAAACATGAGAAAATGGCTGTCAATTAAATCAGCCATAATTCTACTAGGCTATATACCTGCAGTTGAAAATTGTGTTGTTACTTTTATAACTACAATTGTTTTGCCAAGAGACGGTTGTCAAATCCAAAAGTCTACCGACCATTCTCGAACGGCAAGTCTGACTCTGTTTGTTATGTTAGGCCTAATACAAAATGTTAACGTTTTGTTCTTAACCCAGGGCCCTGGGTTCAATTTCTATCACGGTAACAGGATTTTTTCTCAAGACCAAAAAACATCACTCCCTAAACCACATAATGACACTTAGTTTATGTAGAGAATATTGTGTTTATGTTTGCCTTAAGAAGGAATATGCCACTTTGAATAGTGACTAGTTCATTCCTAGGAAATCCTTGGTCTTCGGCGTAAAAATAAATAAATAAATAAAACACAACAGAATATAATATTTCTTACCATTAAATTTACGGCTGTTCACTATGGTTGGTGTTCCCCAGCATACTGAATAAGAACGCGACACCAATTCAGAACACCTGATTTTACGAACAAAAAGCAGATCGTAGATTTGTTGGTAGCTTGTGTCAACCCTTTTCTCGGTTGACAGTTGGTTTGTCATTCGAATGTACTTGCCTCTTTCAAACCCCTGTCAAAGTAACGAGGTTTTCTATCCAAGATGTCAATCTGTGGCAAATCCACATGACGACCAGTTGATTTTGAATGTGTTGACACTTCCGAAAAAGATGAACTAGGTTAGCCATGCAATAAAAAACGAGTCTTTACTTTCTTAGTTATTTCTGATTCCCAATGTAAGCCTGCTTACATTGGCCTGAAGTTGTATGCCCTTGGCCAGATGGTAGATAGAACCATGCTATAATTCTTCGGTGACCTAAGGCGACACTAAAAACTTTCTCACAGTGCGTGATGTCTGAAACCGGCAATGGTGAATATCTTTCTCTTCTGTTTGGATTGTCATGCTTGTTTTGTTTTTTTCTATTAGTCACAGGCTTCCAATAATCTATGGTCTGCATTTTAGTTTTTTCTATTAGTCACAGGCTTTCAAAAATCTATGGTCTGCATTTTGGATAATTTTTCTTAGGATCACGTGCCCTGTGTAGCTTTCTTTCAGCCATTTCCAGTCAATACACCAGTTGTCTTCACTCTAGAGAGCCAAAACTCATGGAAGTTTTTACTCTGTAGAGTGTAACAGTGCCGTCCCATAGGAACACTGCAGAAAATATTATTCATGGTAGAAAATATTCTCGTGCTTTTGTGTTTTGGAAACAAAAACATACTGTTTGGTCACTCTTTTATAGATTGTAGAACTACCAAGTGGACTGCCATAGGCCTAACTTAAATGAAAAAATAATTTAGTCCGAGCATGCTCGACATAAGTATTGGTACAAAACAACATAGTTCGAGAATCAACAAGATTTCTTCCACAAATACGTGCATTTACCAGCTCTAATAATTACGTAGGAAAATCTATCTAGCTATTGTCAAAAATAAAATGTATGGTAGACCTACTGATAAATAATTATTGCTCATCATACTGGGTAGTTATCTAAATCTATGTAGATACTCATAACGCCTGTTCTGCACCATCTGGATGACGACAGGGGCTTGAGATAAACCATTACACTGGGGTAACCCCCTACTCGTCTCGAAAGATGTACTGGGTTCTTTATAGTGCACATGAGTCATTGTGTACACTGGGCCTACGGTTTATAGTCCTTATCCGAGAAGACGTGCTTCACCTCCAGAGCCATAGGCGAGCGTGGCGTTCGAAACAGCACCGATATTATGGCTGTAGGTTACTTGCCCCTGCCTTAACCGCTCGGCTTCAGTAAAGCACTGCTGTATCAGAACTTGTACCTTTCCTAAATTGTTTCGAAGCGCAAGCAAAAATGATTTCTGAATTAAATCAAATATAAGTTTTCTCGTTAATTTTTGCACTTTAATTCCGTAAATAACAATGAAGGTTTCTTACAGAAAACAGAGACATTATACCAAAGAAAAACATTAATAATTTTCCATTAAAATACTAATTGTTGAAGATTACGTGAAGCCACGTTAATTATTGTCTTTGTAAACATAGTTATGCTTGAGTTTTAAAATCACCATTACTGTTTCTTTTTACAGTGGATTTAACGACGCACGTGAAAGGCAGAATTGTATTCTATTTATACCACAGTCACCAACTTACTGGTTAGATATCCATATCAAAATTTAAAAGTACAATTTTCACCGTGAAACCAAGCAAGTATACGTCACAAACAAGCTTCGGGTCACGTACATCAAAGAATCAGCCTTTAGGCTCGTCCAACAAAAAAGCATAATACATTTTTAAATAAAAATTATTATTCAATATCATTCTATCTGTATTGGCTAAGAGATAACGCAATCGGATGGTTCACCGTTATGTTTCATCTTTGGTCTACTGCTGCGTCGAATCAAACTGCGACTGCGCGCCATATCTTTATCAGAAACCCTGAATTTGCCATCCCGGTGTTTCGATTTGTATCCATACTCACTCATCCGCCTCTTGAGTACTGGGCTCAATTCTCGGGCAGCTGGAATTTTAGCAAGCTCAAGAAGCTTTTGAAAGATGTCCAGAATACTTTGGTTCTCTTTTGCCGATACCTCTAAATGTGCACAATGCCAGTTTTCATTTATTGTTATATCGTTCACCTCTCCCTCGTCAACGCGACGGCCAATCGCTATGTCCAACTTATTGCCGACAACCACAACTGGTATCTGATCGTAGTTGGATCGTTGCTCTCGAATCTGCTCGTAAATCTTACGAACCTCCTCAAAAGATCGCCGATCATCGATAGCATATACAAGAAGAAACGCATGCGCAGTTGATATAGATAATCGTCTCATGGCCGGGAACGCCATCGCCCCGGACGTGTCAAGAATATCGACTTTGATATTGTGGCCGTTTACTGTGTATTCCCTACAGTGCAGGTCCTCGACAGTTTCCTTGTACTTCGATTCAAATTTCTTTTCTAGAAATTGTGAAATTATAGAGCTTTTTCCAACTCTCCCAGCTCCGAGGACAACAACCCGGTACCGCTCGTCGGAATCTGACATGATTCAATCCTCCGTAGAACAATGGATGTGATTATTACCGTATTTCTAACAATATCTCGTAATACACAATGCAATCGTATTGTCTATACGATCGTTCTACTTTATTTTGTTAGTTTTACATGCAAAACTGCCAACTGCTATAATAATTACTCGTTCACAATACAATTCTATCGTTTCTTATTTTATCCAGTTGATGCCATACTGAACATTCCTCTTATTATCTGTCGAAGGCTTTGATTGGCTCCCATCCCTGGCAGTGGAGCAAAGGCAGGTGGAACACGACTGAGGTGGAGATTTTCTTTGGCGAGATCACGTGTTCATGGTGATATTAAAGCTGTGAGATAAAAGAGAGAATATTGAGAGTAACAATGCATTGTTAATTATTAATCGAAGCATCACCTCGACGGTTAATTTTAGTCATGAAAGTACTATTATGTTTTCGCTCGTTTAAATTGATCACGATGTTTATCGAAAGTATAGTATAGGCCTACCGCAGTGGAATTGTTATTTATTTATAAGAAATAATTTGTTCATTATACTTTGCGTCGACTTCATTTCCTGTTACATCATATGGAGAGCTGTCGTGACAAAATGAGTATTGCGGTACAATAAAATGAAAAATGAATTATTGATATATTTAAGTAGATGACTATATAACCTTTATTTTGGTTTTTGAATCAGGTTCCTATGTTAAATACAGCTAGAGTAAGACCATTTTCCAAATTTAAAAAAAAAACATACTTTAGAGAAAATCGCCTCTAAAGATCGATAACCAACCGATACATTTTGTGTTGGGTTTCCTATCGATTTTACAAAATGTGCCTCTAAAACATTGTTACCATGAAATATACATACTAAACTAAATCAGAAACATTGAAAGCCTATTATTGTCAAAATATTCCAAATTGACCTGGCGTACCACAAAACTCATTTTGTCTATATGATGTAATAGGACATTAAGTCAACCCAAAGTATAATGAAACAAATTATTTCTTACAATGAATAATAATTCCTATGCTGTAGGTATTAAATTTCAATTAAATCAGGTGATTAAATTACAATTTTTAATGCAATTTGGTCCCAAAAAGTCACTTCCACTGAAAAATGATACCTTCAAACTTTAATCAGACGATCATAGATTCATAATTATTCATATTGTACTAACAAAATATAATAATGTATTACCTAAACAAAGGAAGTATGACAGAAATGTCATTACTGTCTTTCTGATACAGATTTCTCATCGAAATATATATAAATAGTACATATCTATCGGGGGTATTCATGGCATCGTTAATTCACGTAGTAATTTTTTCTAAATGTTTTAATGATTTATTATTTTATTCGTTAAATTGGGTCAACTTATTTTTTTAAACCCAGTTTTTGTTTTACGTGTATGTATTGAACTAGTAAAATGCATTGAATTAAATTCATCATGCGTGTATTGTATAGTAAGCACAGGCCCTATATAAAGACTGATTCACACTTAATAAATTTAGACGCGTTACGCAAAAGCTGTATACGCCTACGCCAGCCACAGGCATGTTCAGACTCAATGGGTTACGCTAGGTAACGCAAGTGCCAGTAATAATACACAGTCACTGAGATACGATAATCGAACTAACCGCCTCTAGCGTGCGTCATTGAGTTAACGACAGTCATGAGTCAATAATTCACGCAGTTACGCTAAGGATTAACGTGAATCCGGCGTTAGTTACACATGGCGTATCTAGTCTGGGGGTTTCGACGATTATGCATGATACGCCCGGTTTAAGATACGTCGGGTTTTAGTTACGCCTGGTGTATCTCAGGTGTGATCATAACCATACAGCCGCGGTTTTGCGTTTGCGTCAAATCACTAGTTGTGTGATAGTGTGGGTGTGTCAATGAGCCAATCGTATGATGATACGCTCAGCATGTTTTACAAAGAACCAAAACCGATTAACGTACATCCAAAATTATGGACAAAGAATTATACGTCAAACCACGAAGTGTTAAAGCGATATTTGTTCATAGCTATATATGCTCATCGCTAATATCATTCAATTAAAATAAATATAAATATCGAATAATTAATGCAAAATTAAAGTTAATCAATAAAGGTACGAGTCGAGCTGTTGAGCCTAGCAGCATTTGCATTTACATATTCACAACTGACTTTAGTATTTCCCGTAAAAATCACAAGCATGGAATGACAGATTTTGCTATATTTCAGTTACTCGTGCGAACAGGCTTACGGCTTCAGAGGCACTGGCCGAGTTTGCCGTAAATTCTTCGCATTTCAACTAATACCCGTTTTAAATAAAAACGAAAAAGGCCTTGCCAGCGTTCAATATAATTTACTAGTTCGCAGAGAAAATCACTTTTTATTGACAACGTTCAAGCACGTAGTAGAATTATATATTACGATAAAGAAATATTAACAGAGCGATGCGATACCTGCGAGGATTAGTTTCAATATTGCATTGAGACAAAATATTTAAAAAATGGAATATACAATAATATATGTATACATTAGTCATTAATAGAAAGGTAGGCTTACAATGATATTAGAATATCTTTTCGTTATAGTCAATTTGAATAAAAATAATGGCATCGTCCACAAAGACCCTGCATTTTCAATATTCGGACAAAAGGCAGAGTTAAGCACTCCAGCATTTAATAATAATAATAATAATAATAATAATAATAATAATAATAATAAAAATAATAAAAATATTAATAATAATGAAATAATGATAAATAATAATAATAATAATGATAATAATAATGATAATAATAATAATAATAATAATAATAATAATAATAATAATAATAATAATAATAATAATAATAATAATAATGATACTGATGATAATGGTTACGATAATGATGATAATGATTATGACGATGATGATGATGATTTTAATAATTTTATGGATAGGGATAGGCCTATTATCTTTATCTTGCAATAGCACATTCTGAATTCTTATTGTATTACATTAAGATAAAGTATTTAACCATTCATTGTTAATACTGTATTATAACTACTGCGTGTCTTATGATTTTAATATTTATCTACTTCTACATTAAATTTATATCTGGCCATTCACTGCTCCCGGCGGTCTCAGCCAAAACGACTCTCTGGAGAACGAAACACCGCAACGCGCGCTCGACGGATCATGTTTTTAATGACGATCCGTTTAAACTTGGTTTACATATAATTGCTACACGCAATCGACGACAGCTTTCGGTGATGCTGATTGGTCGGTCGAATCGGGGAGCCTTCCCGATTGGATCGGGTACTGTTACGCAATATAAAACCTGGTTTCCTTAAAATCGCTACACTGCTGTCACTGCAGCGTTTTTAGTGCAATAGTTGTACTGCGTAGCAAACCCGATGCAATCGGAAGGCCCCTGATTCGACCGACCTATCAGTATTACCGAAAGCTGTCGGCGATAGCGTGTAGGGATTTTATGGAAAAAAAGCTTAACGATTGCGCTGAAAACACTGTAGCGACAGTGTAGCGATTTTATGGAAACCACTCTTTAGATTGCCACCGAAAATCAGCAGAAGACGCCGCGTCGTTTAGCGCTCACAAGAGTAAATACGTGGCTTAAGGTTTACACCTGTATATTCATCAAAAATAATTGGAACCATGCTATCGCCTCCTGCACATTAATTTTCACCTTGTAATAATAGTTACGATGATTACTACAGTACTAGATAATTAAATATTTACTGCAAGAAAATATAAACAAACGATATATGTAAAATCTAATATAGGAATTGTGTCAAAATAATATGGTATCGTGGTGCGGTAGTAACAATTACGCTTTATTTTAAAAACTAATTAAATAGTTGATTGAGGAAACCATCAGGTATTGTTTTTCTGCACCAACACTCAACACAAATACTCTCCGGAATTATATCACTCGAATTCATCACAATAAAATGATTCACTTGGATTAATTTGCTACAAAAATGACTATAACAATCCCACAATGCAACAGGAGCTTAAGCCTCGACCGATGGTTTTCTTGAAAAAGATCTTCGAGTAGGTCTTGCTTGATAATAATATTTTTCCCAGGGTCGTCCAGGGTCGACTTGTCCAGGTATCTCATGGTATCCAGGTATGTCGCTTTGATGTTGCGTCGCAGGGAGTTGGAACCGAAGAATTATAATGCTTAATCATTTCAGCGGTAATTGAAAAATACGTATGGTTTTCAAAAGTTGACATTGTAAATGACATACGTTGATTCCATCATTATGAGTGATGGCGGTAACTTCTAAAGAAATACTTGATATGCGAAACAGTTAAAAGTCCTTGAAATAATGTATGGTCAGTATGGAGTTTATGAAATTTATATCTATGTAGACCTATCCGTGGTGACATACCAATAAAAAACACTTTTACTTCTATTGCTGCTGCTACTACTACTACTATAGTTAACGCTGCTCCTACTAGTTCTGCTGCTGCTGCTACTATTGCAGCTGTTGCTATAGCTGCTACTACTGCTGCTGCTGCTGCTGCTACTGCTACTGCTACCACCACTACTACTACTACTACTACTACTATAAATGCTGAGGCTACTAGAAATACTGCTACTACTGGTGCTACTACTCATCATCATCTTCGTCTTCAACATCGTCTTCATCTTTATCATCACCAATACTACCACCACTACTACCTCCACCACCACCACTACCACCATCAAAATTTGTCAATATTCATCAGCATGTTGAGCTTGAGTTTTCTCGTATATCTCTCCTGTAAACATTCCTATTTTATTGAAATACGGTTAAATCAAAAATCTATGCCTCGACTTAGCTGCAAATGCTGCAGTAATTACTGCGTACTGGCTCTATGCACATAACCCTTACGAGATTCTAATACCAAGTTTATCTGTAAAGTTAGTCTTTAACAGTTCATATTTTACCGGTATTAATGTAGTGGTCTTTGTTGCCGTCTACGAGATAGAATAAAAGACATTACTAATATACAATAAGCTGGAGCTCTCCCTCGTGAGCACGCTGGGGATTAAAGGAAGATAACATGCTCATCGTCATCACTGCACTGAAGAATCATAAATTTTATACTAATAACCACCGAGCTACAGTTACTTGTTTAAAGAGGATTCACGCAAAGCGAAAGATATTTTACATCAAACATCTATTCAAAATATTATCTTAGTTTGCTCAGAACAACAAACATTGAGAGTGAAGATTGAGTTTTTCTAAACAAAACGTTAAACTGTGGTGAGCAAAAAATTTTGAATTGTTTTCCTTGTCTATAAAGTAACTTATTGCCTTTCAACTGATAAGTAGAATAAGTTTGTTATCATCTATGATCA